GTAGGGAAAAGAACACAGTAGATGATAACGGGGGGGAGACTGAGAAGCATAGTCGTATGTGTTGTTCCTCTGTAGAAATGGCAATAGAAACCATCTTTATTAAGCGTGAGAATAAGGGAGCAATATCATGTTTCTCTCTACAGCCATGTCATTTGTAAACATGTTTTACTCAAAAATATAAAATATCCAAAGGCTACACATTTTATAGAATTAGTGGATAGATCAGAAGGATGCTGGTGACAGTCTGCCTCCCAGCAATGATTGTAGGTTGTCCAAGAAAGGCATATTTCTGCTTCACAATTCAAGAAAATATGCAACTAGTGCTGTTCTCTGGTCATCTTCTCAGACATGATGAGGTTACCAAAAGGAAAGGTATAGGAAATAGGCAGAAAGCATAAAAACACTGGATCAAAAGCAGTTAGTTGAACAAATACTACTTTCATAAAGGGTATGCAGAAGCATATAAATAACTTATGCAGAAACTATATATAAAGTATGATTTTGTAAACACTAACTATTGAACTAAATATAAGAAAGAAACACATTGTCTTTGTACCTAAGACGAAGGTAATGGAAGAGGAAGCAAAACTGGTGCTTTCACACCTGGCTGGAACTGTTCAGCTTACCCAGAACTCTCTAGTGCAGTTCGCTTTGTAACAAAACTTTCCAACAAGTAATTTTGGTTAACCAAATCATACTGTTTTGAGAAAGCAGCATGATCTATCTTTCATAAATTTGTCTAATCAACTGCCAGTAGCCATGAAATAGCTAACAGGAGCATCCATGTTCACCGGAACTATGCTTCTTGAGTACCTATGGCTGTGAGGCTCCATAGGAAAGAATTATGGCTGCTTGCCATGCTTGTGACAACTGGTGGGTAGGGCACTGAAGGAAACAATCTGTCCCAGCAACATATTATATACTAACTTCCTAACTGCCAGTATCTCCTCTTGATCTGAACAGTCAGCTATTAATGAAAATAGAAAAGGGATAATTCTGAAAAACTGTCCTTAATCTCCCAGTTGTCTGCAAAGACTAACTGCATGGCTCTATTCAAAATGGATGTTTGCTAATTTATTGGGTTGCCATATGGTTAAAGGTCAAGTTGTTGAATTTAAATTTTTGTTTTTGGAATTTTGCTAGAGCTGTTTCACATTGTGTGGCAGTGTGGCATGCTACTGTTTGCCATGGCAAATGTAAAGTGTGAAGGGCAAATATATGCTCTGGAAAAATCCAGTGAGGATGTTTGGAGAAGCTATCACCAAGTGGGTTGGCCTTGGCTAGTATTCGGAAGGGCAATCTCCAAGGAATACCAGAGTTGTGATGCAGAAGCAGACAATGACAAACCTTAAAAACAAGTCTAGCTCACCATTTAGTGTTTCATAATGCAAGAGCTAGAACTTCTGCCTGCCAGACAATCTTAGGATCTCTTGGTTATTCTATACACAATGCCATGTGATAATTATAATTACCACCAACTTGCTGTCATGTACCTTGAAAATGCCAGTTGGCCCTTCTGTGCTTTATGTGGTGACTGCTGAAAACATCAGGGTAACTTTGGCTTACATAACAGCCTTGTGAAATATATGCCCATAAACAAAACTAATAATTTTGATGACATACTCTGAAATGGTAGTTCTGTAATCAGTTGAAGATCTGTCAAATCCTTGCCACCCTCAAAGACCCGCATACTTTTTGGGGTCAGGATTTAAGTCTCAGGTGATTTGAGGACAGGTGCTACAGATTGAATCCCAAGAATCTGCTTACCAAACAGTACAGCCCTCCTTCAGCACAAGAAGGAATCTACTGCTGAACGGATTCACAGAATTCAGCTGTATGTGACACACGTGGCTTCCAGCTAATCTCTTGATCAATAATTTTCATTGTTGAATATGGTGATGGCAGAACCCACATGGAGTCATTTTTCATACATGTTTCTTTCAATAATAATGGTTGCTTGTAAGTACTTAAGTCACCTTCTGTGAATGTTCAACAGGATTTTTTTCCCCAAAAAGGAATTGTGGAGTCTGTACCATATCACCTTGCTCATAGTGGAAGCGATACATTCCTTTCACATGCTTCTGAAAACTTCCTGCAGGCACTTTGTGAAAGGATTACTGGAAATGTGGAACTGGCAGATATTTCACTGTTAAAACAAATTTGATCTGAACATCATCATACTTGGCCCTTCTTCCTCATCTATTAAATGCTTTTACAAAACAGAAGGCCAGTGTTAGCTTACAGCAGAATGGTATACATTAGCAATCAGCAAACTATTTTAGCAGTAAAGCCAACATGAGCTATTAGACGTCCAACACAGCTGTTTGAGACAATATACTTTGGTATTTTTTAACTTATTAAAAGTTATGTTTTTGCAACTTTGGAGAATTATCTCCAATGTTTGGGGGAATTATATAACTCATTTAGTACACTGATCTTTATGGATTATTTATTGGGGGGGCTATATAAGAAATCCCTCTGTATATTTGAATGCTAATAGCTGCAAAGACCTCCACATCTTATCCCTAGTATTAAGTGATCAATTCTTGACTAAAAGCATGCACCAAGTCAGGTTACCCCAAAACCAGAAGAATTCAGAAACCCCTATAGGCTTCATAAGAGAGGGGAAATTACTAGTACACTATGCAAAGACAAACTAACACTTCAGAGTTTGCATGATAACACATCAAGAACTTCCAATTTTTTGGAATTCATGTTTAACATATACTCAGATTTCAGTTATTTTAAGCAATAGGGTAACAAGCCTAATTTTACCCTGAGTTGAAGACATAGACATGGAGCATTTCGCTTCTTGAAAGGTACCAGTTGTTTAGGATACAGCACTGTAGAGTTAAGATTCTTGTGCAGAAGAAGTTCCCACCCTGGTACTTAAATCCTCTTCTGCATGGGCTGTGTCTCAGAGGTGGTGTGTGCACACCGGTCTGTACATATCCCAGAGTTCACCTTTGTTTAATTTTCCTCAGAGATTAAAAATCAGTGCTTGGAGTTGGCACAAGAGCTACTGAAAAGGAACCTGAAGAACACTTCGCATGCCCATGTTCTTTATATTGCCTGGATGGAAACCGTGAGTTGTTTTTCTATAAACAACTTAAAATTGTACTGTTAAAGAGTCCCTTTTGTTACACTTGGCCTTGAACTGAATGATGCCCCTGAAGTAACCACCATACACTGAATATTAACAGAGAAGTGCAGATGCATACACACTTTGTGTCTTCCAGTGTTATGAATGGGGATATTTACTTCCGTCCCTTGACAAGGTTAAATGCAAACTTCGGAGCCTTCATCTTTGGATTTAAGAATGCCAGTGCCTTCAGTTTGAGGAGAGGCTACATTTAACAAGCACGGCAACTGAGAGAACAAAAGAACTTGTAAGAGATCCAGTTGTAGGAAGACTGATGGCAGGCTCCACTCGGCAGTGTAGCTCAGACTGGGCAGACCACCAAACCCATTTTTGAAAACTGTCCTGTTCTTCCATTTCAATCTGGTAGATCACTAGGATCCATTTGAGAAAGTGGTGCCTTTAATCTGTCAAGTTCATCCACCTGGGGAGGATAAGGCATAACCTCCTGGTCTTCTGCTACATCTTCATCCACCGTAAGGTTTGTTAGAGATTTGCTTCTAACACACTGGAAGTCGACGTGGCGACTCTTCCCTTCTTCCTTTTCCCAAGACATCTGAATAAACGGACGTTGTACATAATTATATATCACTTCTGAGCGACCTCCAGGCCTCCTCTTCACTTTCTCTTTGCATGTTGGGTAACCTGAAACAATAGTTTTTGCAAGATTATCCTTTCAGGCCTACATTGGCTCAAGTAGGTAGCTTTAATACTTTATAAAGTAACAAATTGCACAGTCCAAATTACAGACGTGTCACAGTAGAAAAGAGATGGATTTGACCTTCCAGTTCACGAGAAGTCATTTTTACAATGCAAAAATCAAAGGTAATGAACATATGAAGCTGCCTTTATACTGAATAAGACCCTTGGTCTATCAAAGTCACATGAAGCTGCCTTTATACTGAATAAGACCCTTGGTCTATCAAAGTTAATATTGTCTGCTCAGACTGACTGCAGATCTCCAGGGTTTCAGACAAGAGGTCTGTCACATCACCCACCACTTGATCCTTTAACTGGAGGTTAACTGGAGGGATTGAACCTGGGACTTTCTGCATGCCAAGCAGATGCTCACCATTGAGCCACATATACTATAGGGAAGGTGGATTTTTAAAAGTTCTAAAACCCTTCTTCCTGACCACCAGTTCCTGGGAAATTCTTCTACGGAAGGAAAGAAGGAGCATGCATAGGCACATCTGGGGAAAGCACATACTTTCTGTTCAACTGGATTTTTTCAAACTAAATGCATCATGGGAGTGGACTGCATTCACAAATTGTAGATAAAGAGTGCCTCCAGGAGACAATGTGCCCTAGCCCTTGTGTGTTCAAACATCACAAAAACTGGTGTTGGGGGTAAGACCAACTCTAGTTTCTTCTAGGGTTTGTACATTCTCCTCTCCTCAATGAAGTTTTCCTGATTTAGGAAGTCTCAACTTTAACCTCAGTTTGTTTTTATGTTTGCTTTGGAGTTCGTTTATTTTCTTTGTAAAGGGCAGGGGTGGCCAAATTGTGGCTTGGGAGCGACATACAGCTTTTTTATACATATTGCACGGCTCCCATCAGGGCAGCTGGGGAAGTGAAGGGGAGCCATGCCTCCCAGATCGGTCTTCCCTTCCCCTGCCAGTGTTCCCCTCCCTGGGTAGGCTTGAGGTTGAGGGGAGCAGAGAAAGAAAGCAACTTTAACTGCATTCTCAAAGCACACCCCCCCCCCGGTTGACTTGGAGAAGAAGTCTCTTTAAATCCCTTCTCTAAGCCGTGGCAGCGGGGAGTGGGGGGCATGAAGAACACATCTGAAGTTAAAGGTGTTCTCCAGGCCTCTGGCCCCACCCACCAGCTTGAAGAAGGCATTTGACTCTTTAAATCCCTTCTCCAAGCCAAGCTGGCTGGCATGGGGGTGGGGGGTGGAGAACACATTTAAAGTTAACACTGCTTGCTTTCCACCTCTCCCCCCCATTTATTTGCTTTCTTTCCACCTCTCTCTTTCTCATTCCTCCCCCATCTATTTGCTTTCCTTTCCACCTCTTTTCACCTTTCTCTTTCTCCCTTCCTCCTCCTCTCCCTCCCCCATTTGCTTTCTTTGTTTCTCCCTCTTTCTCTCTCCTTTCTCTCCACCTCTTTCATTCTTTCCACCTTTCTTTCTCCCTTTCTCCCCCGCCCCATCTATTGGCTTTCTTTCTCTTCCTCTCTTCCCCCCTTTCATTCCACCCCATCTATTTGCTTTCTTTCCACCTTTCTTTCTTTTTCTCTTTCTCCCCTCTCTTCTTTCCCTCTCCCTCCCTCCCCATCTATTTGCTTCCTTTGTTTCTCCCCCCACCTCTTTCATTCTTTTTTCCACCCCTCTCTTTCTCTCTCTTAGACAAATATCATTAGCAAACAAATTATCATTGGACAAGTAGATATTATCAATATCTGTTTTTACCCCTTTTGTTTTTATTTTTGGCAGTTTCATTTAATGTTAATAAAAAGTAAATTTGCATATTTTCCATTTAAAATGTGTATGTAATATTTGTTCATGTCTTGTGGCTCTCAAACATCTGACATTTATTCTATGTGGCTCTTACGTTAAGCAAGTTTGGCCACTCCTGGTATAGGTTTTCTAAACCAAGGATTAAACCATGGTCAGATTTGGACATCACAGCAAACTGTAGTTACAGTGAAGACTTGTTGAACCAGTCTGGATTCTACATGTGAATGAAGCAGGAAGGGAGTGCACAAGTTTAAGAATAAACCAAGCCTGTCCTAATCATAACAAGCTGAATACAAATCAAGTCTGGTGACTGCTGCTGCTCTCAGAGAGGAGGCACATACTAAAAGCAGCACCCTGAAATTGAGCTCAACCAGCCATAGATCCCTCGAGAGCCATGTCAGGCACAGGCAACACATAAGCAAAACAAAGAGGTTGGTGGCACCTTAAAGACCAGCATAAGTGTTGTGGCATATGCTACAAGAAATCTGATCGTCTTTAGCATGCTACAAGGCTCTTTGTGGTGTGGCTGCAGCAGTTACCCCTCTGGAATTTGTCACCATGCCTAAGGGATACTCATGAAATCAGATAAGGTGATGAGGAACTGGTGCAATACAAGAATCTAAGAAAGCAGGGCAAAGAGCCAAATGGGTCTGGGTTCCCTGCAGCCACACAGCAGCTGCAGGGAATGCTATTTTTAAAGCCCATGGGAACCTGATTCAACTTGGGGTTGCAACATGGGGGGAGGAGGAGAAGCTCTTGCATCTCCCCCACACCATTCTTCTCACTTGAAATGGCCCAGTGGGGAGCTGCAATCCAAAATTATGCAACAAACGCCCCACTAGGGCCATTTTAGCTTGGAAAAACAGTGCAAGAAGAAGAGAGAGAAGAGATTGGATTTATACTCCACCCTTCACTACCCAAAGGTGTCTCAGAGCGGCTTACAAACTCCTTTCCCTTCCCCTCCCCACAACAGACACCCTGTGAGGTAGGTGGGGCTGAGAGAGCTCTTGACAGAAACTGCTCTTTTTTCAAGAACAGCTGTGCCAGAATTATGGCTTGCCCAAGGTCATCCAGCCAGGTGCAAGTGGAGGAGTGGGGAATCAAACCCGGTTCTCCCAGATTAGAGTCCGCGCACTTAACCACTACACCAAACTGGCTTCCCCCCACCCCCCCAAGCAGCAGTCCTGAGCCAAACTGGGAAACCCAGACCCCACTTGTTATAAAACATAGAGTTTGGCCGAAAGTCTCTCATGTAATACAGTGGCAAAACTAGGATATCAGACAAGAACAAGTAAATGACAGCTTCTAAAAAACTTATTACTGGTTCCTAAAAAAGGTACTATATTTACCTTCAATGCCAATTCGGATATTTTTCAGGCCTCGTTCTTTCAAGACTGTTTTTGCAACATCCCGATTTTCTATGTACTTGAAGAATCGGTAGAGCTTTGAACTATACAGGACTTGGGGTGGAAGAAAGCCATAATTAGTGTTAGCATAAAATACGTTTGCTGTTAATATTAACAATAGAAGAGCAGTTAGTATATCTACTTAGTAACCAATTATTCATGTAAAACTTTTATTAGCTGCCTTTCTACCTTGTGGAACTTAAGACTGGTTTAAAATAGAAATAAAACGATTATAAAAAACACATAAAAGACCACAGTTTAAAATCTCCAAATGTGGCAGCCAACAGATAAAAACTAGTCAATTGCAATCCTAAATAAAACTGTCTTCCAACTGTCTTGTGAAGACTCTTAAGTGAGGGGGCCGGAGGCACCTCCTTGTAGGGTGGTTCCATGATTGTGGAGCTGCCACCGAAAAGGCCCACCAGATGAGCTTCTTTGATTGGTGGGCCAGTCAGGAGGGCCCCTCTGTGCGATGTTAATTCCTGGGTGGGAACGTATGGGAGAAGACAGTCCTTCAGATACTCTGGTCCCAAGCCATGTAGGGCTTTAAAGGACAGAACCAACACCTTGAATTGGGCTCAGGAGCAGACTGGTAGCCAGTGTAACTGCTGTGTTATTGGGGCCTCATACTCCCAGTAGCTGGCCCCAACCAACAGTCTAGCCACAGCATTCTGCACTAGCTGCAGCTTCCAAACACTCTTCAAGGGTAGCTCCAAGTAGAGCACATTGCAATTAGTGTAGTCTAGATGTAACAGACATGGATCCCGGTGGCTAGATCTGTGGTATCATCCACATATTGGAAACACTGCAGCCCAAACCTCCTCCTGATGACCTTTCCCAGCAGCTTCATATAGATGCTAAATGGCATGGTGAATAAGATTGAGGAAGAACTGTATATTCACCATGACCAAAGGCAAATCTTACATCCGAATACAAGCACTGTAATCAACAGGACTTTTATGAACATGACACATGAATACCAGGTTTCTTTGGAACCAGTTTTTAGACTGTGTGTGTTTTTTATTTAAGGATTCTTTACAAAACTGCAGAGTACCAACTTACTTTGTGAGTATTCTTCTCCCATGGGAGGTGGGTAGTCTTCATCCCAGTCCACTACATCGTCATCAGTTAAAACCACAATGTGACACTCGCGTTCTCCTTTCTTGGCGCTGCCCACCATTATAGGCACAATCAGCTCTTCCAGGTAACTATCGAACTGCTTGTGAGCACCGTCGTTAGACATCTCATGCAATAAAGCACCTAACAAGGAACCAGCTGCACATAAATCCTTTGGAAGAGACAGTGACACTCTAACATTCTAGAATACCATCCTTTAGCATTTTTGCCATCCCTAGAGCAGTTAGCGAGTCCGCTGATTGGAAAAAAAGCAGGATATAGATATTTTGAATAGAGAAATGATAGCTAGCTCAGGGGTCCAACTGAAATCTTGTCTCCTCCCTGCAATCTGTGTCATCCCACCTTATGGTATAGCTACCAAATGCACACAATAGTGTCTGATAGCTGGTTTCTATTCTGACACTTCAGCCAGAGTTGTATGGCTTGGGTCACTTCAGCATGGAAAGGACACTCTCTGATTGGAAAGTGGCAGAGAACCAGCCAGCTGTGCCCTGCTTCTCATTATAAAGAGTCAGTGCAGTGTAGTGTAAAGGTTAAAGTATCAGACTATGATCTGGGAGACCCAAGTTCAAGTCCCCACTCTGCCAAGGAAACGTGCTGGTTGACCTCGCTTGGGCCAGTCAGCCTAACCTCCCTCATAGGATTGTTGTGAAGATAAAGTGGAGGAGAGAAGAATGATGTAAGTCACTTGGGGTTCCCCCAATGGGGAGAAATGCAGGGTATAAATGAAAACAAAAACACAGACACACTCTACATTAATGTTTGGAGTGCTCGGCCCTAAATTGCCCTCAGTCAGGATGTCAGGTAAAAGTCATCCCTGATCCTGTAATCTCTCTCTCCATTTCATTTTTATTACACACTGATCCATGTGCGTTACAGTGCTTGTACAGTGGCACACAGGCCAAGGCAGCTGCTGTCTCACTTACTGTATTTTATGCATGGTATTTATCTCCCACCTGCCTTCTAGCATGGAACTCAAGGTGAAATACACCCAGTGCTCAGGTGGTCTTTCCATCTACATGCAGGCTTGTCCAAATTCAGCAAGTTGCTGCATCATGTGCCTTCAGACCATCCCTAACCTGGCTGGGGAATTACAGATGTTTATATGCAAATGCTAGAAGTGTCCAAGGTAAACCGGGGGAGTTACAATGCTTAGGGTTGGAGGAGAACATAGACATTGTGGGCATTTCAGAAACTTGATGGGATGAGAATAATCAGTGGGATACAGTGATTCCTGGATATAAATTATATCAGAAGGACAGGGAAGGAAAGGTTGGAGATGGAGTGGCTCTGTATGTCAGAAAGGGTATACAGTCCAGTAAGACTGAGAATGTAAGAGAAATAGATTCGCTTACAGAAATACTATGGGTGGAAATAGTGGGCCCAAAATGAAGCTTAACTCTGGGACTTTGCTATTGCCCACGAGAGCAAAAGATAGAGGATTATAAAATTATGAATGGATTAAAGATAGAGGCTAGATGAAATAACTTTGTCGTAATAGGTGATTTAACTACCCACACATTGATTAGGTCAATATGTGTTCAAGTCAGGAGAAAGAGATTGCGTTTCTAGATACTCTCAATGACTGTGCCATGGAGCAGATGGTCACAGAACCTTCCAGGGGGGAGGCAATCCTGGACTTGGTCCTAAGTAATGCTCAAGACCTGGTGAGAAATGTGAATGTGATAACACCAGTTTGGAATGGTGACCATAATGCTATTAAGTTTAGC